ACTTGCGATGGCCTCCAATCTAGAAGCGATGGCCTCCAGCCTACTTGAGATGATGGCCTCTAATTAACGTTGACGCGATGGTCTCCTACTTGCGATTTCTTGCGATGGCCTCCAACCTAGGAACGATGGCATCCGCCTAGGTAAAGAGTTGACATCCAGAGCTCATTTGCTGGAGGGGTTGGAGCTTTTCTGGCAGGCCTTGAACAAGTTCATTCACTTTGTGAGCAAAGGCCCAGCATACATTGCTCGAACCAAGGAAGAGCGGTACAAGACCAGAATTGACTGGCCAAGTAGCCCATAAGCATGGACATAACATATGGGATGCATGGAATTATACATAATTATACAATTTGGATCAATTTGGTATAGGTATGTATCCTTGTTGTCAGTGACTACTGTGAACAATTGGTCGGTTGCTCGCTCGCTCGCTTGTTCCCTCACTCCCTCCCTCCCCCTCCCTCCCTCCCTCACTCACTCTTACTCTTACTCTCACTCTCACTCTCACACTCACACTCACACTCACACTCGCTCCCTCTCTCCATGCTCTTGCTGTTGTCAAATGTCAATTCTACCTTCAATGTTAGACCCAGCCTGTACTGTACCTCTCCCTTTCCCCCTCTCCGTAGGGAGTGCTTGCTGAGTGTTTGCAGTCGCGGACAACGGGCCTAGCTTAGGCGCTTGGTGGCCATGAGAATTGGCTGCACGTGCTTGGTAAGGCTTTTAGCATCATAATGTTGACAAAGGTAGTAGACGGGGTTGTACACTCGGGATTGTGAGCAAAAAATATATTGCTTCTTGGCTTGATGGCTTTGCTTTTGCATCCCTTACCCTTCGTGTGCCCTTGTTGACCTTGATCATTTCTCGGAAGGGAGAAGGATCGCAACAGAGACATCTTAGTCTTTGGTTTGACCTGAAGACAACTGGAATCCATTTGTAAACCTTGCCCATTCAGCAGGTGGCCGCAGCGTGCAGCCCTCCGAGGCAGCATGGCAATCTGAGACCTCACTGGCTGACCCCCCTCAATGAACAAAAGTGATTACCGGGAATGTCACCTTACGTCACCTTCCTATTTCGTTTTGAGTTTTGACTCAAGTCCAAATGATTCTCACGGACCGGGCAGCTGCCTTGAACCGTATCCCACCACAGAAAGGCCTATCAAGGGGCGCCCATGCATGGCTGTGGCCTTTCAGGGATAACAGGATAACAGATTTAAGACTATTTAAGCATAAACTGTAAGGTAATGTGGAGTTTGCGATATCAGTGGTATTCGGACGTTTCCCCTCTTTTGTGCGGCTAATGGGCTCTTTCAAATCACCGTGAGTCGATCCAGATGGACAAGTGGACGACAACTCTGCACACCTGCAGCCGAACGATGTTCAATGGAAAGGGTCTCTTCACCGGGCTTATTTTTGGAGGGACAAGTCAGGACAAGCATAGTTTTCGTTGTCCAGCACACTTAAACCTGCAGGTGCTTGTTCCAGCTTTGTTCCAAACCCCGAGTGCAAGCGATTGATCATGGGTGCTGTTTGTTCAGCTGATGATCGGCCTGAGCCAGAGGTCAGAGTCACACCAACTGAGGAGGGCCTTTGCAAGCATGGCTGTGGGCGCTCAACTTTCCGTCACTATTCTACCTGTTGCATGCATTGCAAAGGTCCAGAAGGAAAACACTCTCGGGATTGCAATGCAAGAAGTGCTGGGCTGGATGAAGGCCCCCCTTGGATTCGCCCAGAACCCACCGAGCCCACCGATGTTGTCCCAAAAGGTTTTTGCAGGGAGGGTTGTGGCCGACCAGCTGCTAAAGGCAAGAAGTCTTGCTGCAAAAGTTGCCCCTTCCTAGTCGAGAAGTACGGTCAACCTGGTCATGACAGCGGTTGTGACATCGAGCACAATGGAGGAATGTCTCCACCCTGGTATTGGCGTGCCATGACAAAAGCAAAGGAAGGCGCCTCCTTCCATGAAGAGGTCGAGGGTGGCTATGTCCAGTCTTTGGGCACCAAGCTTATTCAGCAGACCCTGCCTACAAGTGAGGTGGTGCGATGCTTGCGCATCGAGGATTCCAATCTTTGGGAAAGATAATGTCAATAAGAGGGCCGAGATCCGAGCCCGAAGCCCAGAACAATTGGATTTGCAGCCAGAATGCTATAGTCAGCTGTCCGTCTCTGCTCTAAGCACGCTGGACAAGACCGTGAATGAAGTTTGGCTCTTCCATGGCACCAGTGAAGAGGCGGCCAAGTCCATCTCCACGGGGCTTTTTCGGCTCCCGAGCAGTGGAGGTCGGTTTGGGAAAGGGGTTTACTTTGCCGATCGGGCGTCCAAGAGCCATGGCTACTCCTCAGCCAACAAGGACACTCTTCAAGCCACTCGCAGACAGGTATATAGCACTTGGCTTAAGATCATTTAAGTTGTTTGATGGACATAATACATGAAGAATCACTGTCGTTGGGTCATTTGCACATAATTCCTTACCTCTATAATCTTATATACATATGACATATGTAATTATATATACATATGTATACTGTATAGGCATATAATGGAATATATAGTATGTTGTGTTTGACCAGCCCTGAAGGATGGATTGCGGATCATGATGTTGTGCCGTGTGGTTGTGGGACAAGCCCTGCGGCTCAGTGGTTCAGATTCGAGCGCCCACGAGACAATCAAGGGCACCGGGGGTACCTGTGTAGTTGGAGTCGCGGACGGCAGCAACACTGAGTTCGTACTGTTCGACGTTTCCCAGGCCTATCCTGAATACATTATGTTTTATAAGTAGTCACCGAAGGTGCAGCAGAATACGTTTAGCTGCCTCAATTTGAACACCCAATGCACGGTTGCTAAAGCCCTCGTATTGTAGCATTTGGGAAGGGAATCTGGATGAATCTGGCGATATTGTTTAGGGAATTTGACATGCAAACCTAGATCCCCCAAACTTTGTCAGAGAGTAGAATTATTAGGGACAACGTTCTTTCGCTTTCTTGGGTGCAAGGGCGGAGTACCGACCGTATGCATTTTCACCTACGCCCCAATCAAATATGTTGACTCTCCCAGCAGCCGGATGAGGAAGAACGTCCTAACCATACTGAGGCAGCTCCGCAGTGCTCTCGGTTGCGTTTGCAAAGCCAAAGCTGTTTCACCTGGAGACCGGAGCCCCAAAGACAAATGAGCACTACTGGGGGCCAAGAAGACCATCTTTTGTAGGATCCTCTGCGGCAGACTGTGTTTGAGAACCTTAAACCGACTGATCAGATGGCAGCGATATTGAAGCCAATTGAAACCTGGTATTTTGATAAATTGCTTTCGGATCCTAGGGTTCACAACATTGCTGGGTGGTTTGGGATTCTTTTCAGTCGGAGTTGATTCAGATCATCCGTGAAGCAGATCCTGTCCCACACCCAGCCACTTGCTGTTGCTCATTACCGTGTCGCGATTCGTCCTTTCGTCGCGATGATGGCCGTTGCAGGTGGCCGATGCGCTGGATGCTTTGGGCCCAGCCCGAGTTGGGGGCCCCACGAAGTGGGATGACGCAGATGTTTGCCACAGAGCACACGCCTTCCATCCAAACCATTCCGAGCGTTTCTAAGATTGTTCTTTGGGGGGAACCTTGCATGTTGAAGGGGATTTTATGGATTGTTGCCAGGTTCTTTTGTGCGATGCTTCATGGAGCCAGCACATTATTATCTTAGGTGGCCTTTCAATGTGGATTGAACTAGATTGGTTAGCAGTGGTTAGCATGGCCTGAGGATGTCAAGTACTATTACTAGGCTGAAATGACCACGGTCCTAACTGAAAGAAGCTTCCTGATTATATAGTTGGGTTGGTCAACCGATATCACATCAGCAAAGGGTCTTAGTTTTTGCTATCATAGTAGGGGTACATCATATCTCAGAAGTACAATCGGTATTGTGCACCGCTCAACTCTTGTCAACTGTGTCGACACAGTGACCTGAGAGTCATGCCCTCTCACGTTGAATCCAAGTGCAGTTCTAGTGGCGACACTTGATTCAAGGTTAATGTCAAGTCAGGAATAACAAACAAGCCCACCATACTAAACCGAGCCACAAGATCCTCCCCAAGTTTAATTAAGCTGCACTAATACAGCAATTGAAAACTGAAAAATGGCGGTCAATGGTTGTCCTTCCAACTGAGAGTACCAATTCAATCCACCCCTGATCAAAACGCGCCAAACACGATAGTCCATTGCCCTACCATACTCAATAAGTTGATTGGTCTACCAATACCACCTACCACCACCACCACCACCCTCCATCCCTTTGCTGCACCAATGCTTTCTGGGCTCGAATCACTTCTTTTCCTGCTATCTTTTGGCACCCGATTTCCAGGGTTCAGGGTTGATAGATTAGATGCTTAGATGCTTTGTGACAAGCCATCGTTTGACAAGCTCACAAAGGTTGGACCCTCTAACTAATAAAGCACCACCCACTCCGTAAATTCGACTCTTTCCCCAATCCTTTCGGAACAGAAAGCACATCAGAAATCAAGAGAGGCGTTCGACCCTCATGACTCCACAATCGCATGAAAATGAAAGGGTGTCAATGTTGGTTAAAGGATGAGGATATGTAAGCAGATTAATGATGATTAATGAATCAACTGAACAGTGGTACACTTGACAAATCGTCAACCTACCATGTGGGCGGGACCCGCCTTATCAATCCAAAGTTCACATTCGATTCATTACCTATACAGATGCTGCAAAACTACTGATGGTTGACAAAAAGTCTTGTATCAACTGGATACCATAATTGACTTCTTTGCCATAAGCACAGATTGATTATTTGGAGACTTCCAAGGTGTTGCACGGCATTGTACCGCGTGTTTGCTTTCAGATGTTCAGGTCATGCGAATTTTGAAGGATATGGAGGAGCATGGACTAGGTGTCAACCTTGGCTCAGTGATGCTGCTTGTGAGGAACAATGAAGCAATCAATCAGGTGCATTGAGAGAGACACTGGTAACTCCGCTACACTCCTGGGTGATATTAAAGCAGCTATTTGGCTTTGGAGGTCGTTGCTCAGATCTCTCCAGTTGGTTCAGCTGAAAAAAAGAAACAGAGGGGACGCAGGCACTAGCATCTCATTCTGAAGAAGACACCCGGTTGAATGCCATCATTTCAAGTAATTAGCGGCACCCTCAATTGACTGGTCCAGACGAATAGTTTGTGGGTCCCAAACAGCATGGATGGGGTGACACAACTTGCAACCGATTGGGATTTGGATGCATTCAGGTTTGGACGACCCCGTCAGCTACGTGAAAGTCTGGGCCTCGAGAGGCGAAGATGTCTTGGCGACCGGGAACCGACCGAGGGGCTTAAAGCTGGAGGGTTGTGGCTGAAAGCTTTGCCCAATCCCACAAGTGCACCGTTGCCAACTGGACCCAGATGTTTCTAAAGCAACCTTTCACCTTGGCATATCTTCCTTCAGAGATGTCTTCTCGGAGTTGGCTGAGGCTGCTGCGAAGATGAGTGGGCACCTAGTGGTCCCGGGCTCAGATGGCGTCATGGCTAGTGAAATAATGAGAAGTACAGGACGATGTTTGCAACATGTTACAGAACCGCGTCCAGAACTTTTGCGCCTCTAATCGCCTGTAGCTCCACAAACAGCCAGAGCTTTTGCTGGGAACTTCAATCCTTTCACTCCAAAACAAGGGAAGCAAGGCTCCAGCATTGCTACAGCATACTCTTGAACAGGTTCTCCTGCACATTCCTGTACTTGCACAGTTCACCCCCAAACGTTTTACATATAGAACTTGGCTTGTGGACCACCGTCCTCTAGGCAGGGTCAGATGGTCTTGTTCTTGGGGCGTGCCGCGGTGAGGTCAAGAAGGAAGTCGACAGCTTCGAGTCAGAGGACCACTCCGTGGACGATGTCTCCAAGTTGACCTCTCGAATGAAGTGGTGCCTCCGCGGGTCTCGGGAGATCGGAAGTCGACCTCGCCGAGCGTCCAAGACCGGGGCGAAGACACGAACATCACATTGCCTTTTTTTGGCCCTGGCGTTGTCGCGTCGTTTTGAGAAGATGTGTTAGGTGCCGAAAGCTTCAACCACCTTTGTGCCAAAAAGATCTCAAGTAATATCAAGTAAAGTAGTTAATATCAAGTACTTATTAGCTAGCATCCAGCTGCCAAAGGGCGAAAGCAACATCGCAGCCCCTTACAACGAATCCGCTGCCCTAAGGGATCTTAAATGCCAACCCGCTGTTTGACCGGAGAAGAAGAATCATGCTTCGAGGTTTGTCCAGTGTCCCTTGCAAGGTTGAATGAATTTGGAGGCTTGTCGAAGAAGATTGCCATCGATGAAGTAGCTGAAACCTCAGCAAAATTGCAGCTGATGCTCACACAGATGGAACGTGTCGGAAGCAGTTATGTCTTGTAAAGGACCATGATAGGCTCAGATTCCTTGAAGGCGCAACGTGAAAACTGACAACATGTAACAGGTTAGTGAATCGCGTAGGTTCTGGAAATTGAGCCGCAGCATAGACAGCGGAAATCAGATGCTTAGAAGAGTCGCCAAGATCTATTGCTACAAAGAGACAAGTTTAAGTTTTGGCCAGTTGCTGCAATGTGATCCTGCAATGCGTGTATATAACTGTGTATTGATATTATACTATATTACATTATATATGCTTGACTCTATAGTGCGACTAGTCTATCTGTTTGCTGGGTAATAATGTCCCTCACTTGACCTGCGTTCTCGTGGCACGCTCGCGTTGCCCAGATTGGAGCATTGTACTGCCTGGGCTTGGCACCATCCATGTCCATTCTACGCAGCCTCCAGGATGGTCGGGTCCGACGGGTTCGGATTGGTCGGAGCAAAGCACATCAAAGCATTCGTCATGAAGTGCAACGAGGACGCTACTAGTAACAAAAGGGCATCGCTACTAGGAGCAAGGACGCTACTAGGGGCGCTCCTGGCATTTCTACTAGTAACAAGGACGCTACTGGTAACAAAGGAATGTTTAGACTGAAAGGAGTGCCACATCAGCTGGCTGAACGGAACACTGAACAAGGATCGATCCATAATCCTGGACATGGGCAGGTACCAAACAAGCATTCACTAGTTGCTGACTTCAAGTCCCAAAACGATTCACATCCGAATTGCTCTTTGTGGTTGAGGAACACAACCAGGCGTATAGTAAACTTTGCAAGAACGAGCTTTGCTTTGTACTTGTAGCATATTGTAGGCATGAAAACAATCAAGAACCATGTTTCATGGAAACTGCTCAACTCCATGTTTGTTCCAAAGCTCCTTTTTCCCGCAGGCAGACATCGCCTTCCTGAAAGAAACTAACAACAACATATCAATTGTGTAGCAGTGTAGCTTATGGAAGAATCGTGCTGAGCCCAGAATTCGTTACAGGAGCGCGGCGCAAGCGTGGCTGACCCCACCCGATACATCAAGCAGGCTGATGCGCCGAATATATTGAATACTTCACTCGGGGCAATGGCCAACGGATGTTCAACTTGGATTTCTTTCAAGACTAGAAGATGAACGTGAGCCTTAGGGTGGAGGCCATCGCAAGTAGGTTGGAGGCCACCTTAGCAACAAAGAAACAAGAAAAAGAAGAAAGGTCGAATATAGGTTGCTAAAATCGATGGAACAACATGTGAGGCCTCCACCTGTGGTCACGGTCACAAGAAGGGCGTGTCCTTTGGATCATTCTTGTTGCGCGTGAAACCAGGTGGACTGGAGCACCATGATTCAGAGGTTTTTGACAGGCAAGAACTAACGGAAGTACCTGGACTTCGTAGAGAAAAGTTGATGGAACGTAGCCTGGATGGCTATACTATATACACCCACGAAGAACGGCAGATTCAAGGCTTCGGCCCGAAATCGAGTGGCAGGCAGTGCAACACGCAAATCGCACCATGGCCAAGGACGAGGCTAGGCTAGGGTGTTGGGAAAGCGATGGAAAGCAAAGAAAAAGAGTTTAGTCTTCTAATCCGTAGCTTTCAATTGACGTGTGCCAAATGGCGAACGCATTGCACTGAAATCTTTCAGCGATGCATCAAGGTGGTAGTGAGTAGTTTGCTGTGGGATGTGGCTATCATGTTGTCTTGACTTACCTTGCCTCGAGGATGAAGAAGAAGATGTAGAAGTCGAGGAGGAAGAAGTAGAAGTCGAAGTGGAAGAAGAAGAAGAAGAATCTGTGAAGGCACATGACTCAATGATGGCATATTTGGATGAGCGTCCGTCTTTATGGCTGCAGTGCTCTTAAGCTCCAAAAAGGCTTGATGTATGTTTGCACTGCTTGATCCTCCACTTCAATTTGCTATGTAGGAGACCACATGACATATACAGATGGTGTGTGTGTGTGCGTGCGCGGGTGTTTCCTGTTGAGCTTTGTGTGAACTTTGTTCTTGTAGCCTGCCATCGGCCACAAGAACTTTGGGTCATTCACCCAGAAGGTGAGCAATCTCGCTCAGCACCTGCCTCACAAGCAAGCTTGTTATACATTGCAAGAGCCTCAAACTCTTGCTTTGTCAAGCTTTTAGTAATGTGTGACGTGAATGAAGCTTAGGCATAGTTGACATAGCCTTTGATGCCCGAAATTCCTGGACTTAGACGATGGTGTAGTTAGACTGAGACTGGCAGGAGGGGCTGGCTCAAACGTTCACAGCTTAAGCAAGTGAAACAAACAAAGCTTGACTCTGAGTTTTGACCTTGAATTCACCATCGTGCGACAATGTTTTTCCCATCATCTTTCCCTAACACCGAGTGGGTGTTGCCAGGCAAAGGAAGAAGTGCCAGCCGATGAGGTCGAGGTGCAAGTCGCAATGGAAAGCCACAAAGTATCCTTTGTACAATGAGAGCCAGTTCATGTAGAGTTGGTTGTTGTTTTTGTTGGTAGTTGATGTAGAAGTTAAAGGGACTGGAATCGAAGAACTTTTTATTTGTTGCTCGGTTGCTGGACATGTTCGCCTACTGATACCATTTGTCCAGGATTGGCTCGCATGGGCTGCTGATGAAGAGCCAAAGCTCAAGAGGCAAAAGCGTGCGGCCCTCAGCCACGAAGGGTCAGAAGGAGCTCTCCACATTGTGGCCTATTTGAGGTGTTCAATAGCAAATCTTGGCTAATCAAAACTAATTAATCAAACAAGGGCTCTTCATGGTACCAGAAGAAGCATGGCAGCAAGGACTGTGAAAGATTGTCAAGGTACTGCAGCTTCGGTTTTCTGCAGTTCCTAATCACCAGTTCAATTAAAGTTGCTGGTGCTCGATTCAGGGTTCAAGCAGCTTTCTCAGTTGTAATTGGTTCCAATCCATTGAGTCCAGTGTTGATCTCCAGCCGACTGTAGCCGGCAGTACTTCCTTCCAGCGGTTTGAAGACCAGGTATGACAAGTGGTGCGTCAGCCGGCCCAAAGGTGAAGTTTGAACCTCAGGAGCCCAATGCACCTGTTGGCATCTTAGAAGACTTTTGGAGGGACTTAATCACTCACCCCAGTGGGCTGCAGGTGTATGTGTGTGTGTTCTTCTCCTGAACGAAAGTTTTGAATCCACCGTGTCACATGTCTCTGAAAAACGCCTCAAACCCAGCAAGTGATTTTGACATAGTGACATAATTATTCAGTTGATATTAGTTGAATCAGCATGTCAGCATGTTACTTGGGACCACGGACCTTTGTTATCCTTTGTTCTTTCCGTGCCAGGAGCCTTCAGTTTCTCATCCTTTGAGCCCCCAAGAGAAGGTGATGCAGGCGACGCTGTCAACATGTTGGCCATGCTTGAAGAGTTTGCAACACACAGTTTTCATTTATTCATGGGACAGCTGTTCGTAGTTCCATATGTGATTTGAGTGGTTCTACGTGAGTAGGCCGACTTGAGAAGGGGTTATACTCGTCGTCAAGACAGGACATTGAACAAGTAGCAAACAATTGTTAACTGTTGCCTGTGTTTCTCAACGACCTGCCTTTGGTTCGAGCAAAGCTTGGGCAATGAGAGTTGTGTTCTATCACATCTTGGTTCCAGATGCGCTTGCTTTCACTCCCGTATCACCTCGGTGCAGGTGAGGAGTTATGTCGCGATCCAAGAGGACGTATTTCTAGTCTTGATGGAAGATTTTCATGGAATACATTTTTAGGAGGGGGAGTAGCCTACCTACCCATTGCAATAATTTGGAATAATTGTATATATTTTAAGATTTTTAAGGACTATATAGATAGTTATAAGTTATAGACCAGATGAGAACCATGAGGTTCAGAACACAGACAATGAAGATACACAAACAAAAAGATACCTTGCTTGCATCCAGGCCTGTGTTTCAGGAACTATTTGGAAAATCTCTGGAACAAGTAACATGTTCCATCAAACTCTGATATGCTGGAATAGTTTTTGCCACAATGTGGAAGGGGTGCAGAAGATTCTGAGGCACACAGGGGTCGTCCGTCCCGCAGCGAGTAGGAAAATCAATTGCGGCAGGCACATGTTTGCATCAATGCGGAGGTTGAAGGCTAAACCGTGAGGGGGTGTTAAAATTGTCAAGCTTTGACGCAAACCCGTGTCCTTTTCTTGCTTGACGATTGTGTGTGTGGCTTGGTTTTATCGGGAAGTCCTTAACTTGGAGCGAACTGCTTCCGATGTACCGAGTGATGATGAACAGATATGAACAGTATTTGCACCCAAACCTATCAGATCCGGTCAATCTTTGTCGGGATCTCTGGAAAAATATTGTGGTGTGTCACAATCGGGTTCAATTGCGAAATCTGTCTATAAAGTGTTTGATGCTCTTACCTGCCTTGTGAACCCATCACATCACCATCCCATCAGACCTGAGACCAGCTCAGGCCTTAAAGAATTCCTTGCGACTGGATGATCAATGCATGGCACTTAGCTGAAACCACAAAGATTTCAGGGATACCTCGCTTGTTCTCGGTTCATCTCAAAAGGATCCCGACCAGATCCAACTTCCTACTTGAGTAGCCTGAAAGTTGTCATTCATGATATTTGGTCGGCAGGAGAGCCTTGTTGGCTTGTAAGCGACCTTCTGGACTTGTGTTTGGTCACAAGAAGTTGTGCATTCTATGAAACATCCATGTCCTTTTCATTTAAACTTAATTTGAGTCACGCCCAGTTCTAACCACTTCATCAATTTCCCACTACACTACTTGGTCGATTGTTCCCTCTCATCTCTGGCCGCTAACCATCTTGGTTTTGATCATATTCAAATTTGATCACTACTGCTCGCTCTGCAATGACTAACCAAACGTGCAAACCGAATTCGCCGAACAAGCAACGAACCAAATCATTATATAAGGTTCGAGTTTCTTCAAAGCATTGTCCCCCGGCGGGCGCGGTGGATGTTCCTTTAAAAACCGAACCCTTTTGTTGCGTCCAAACTTAAGAAACTAGCGAGCCCTTGCTTATTTAGTATTTTTGTTGGCCCACCCTGCAGCCTACCCCCTCTTTAAAGACAAAACACCTTGTAAAATGCCCAGTGTGTTCTGGAGGCCTAAAGACCTTGTCACGGCTGCCTTGCTCCAAAGCCACTGACCTTATCGATGAGGTCTTACGAGGAGGTGTGCTTGGGATGGGAAGATGTGGGTGGAGGGTGTGATTTGTTTATTCCAGAAAAGATGTGGCGCAGCGCTGGTTCTAAATTAACAGCTATGGGGCTATGGATGGCCATGTATGGATTCACTGAAAGGCATTCATTGCCCTCGATGGCACTCCATAGCTACCCTTGCACGAACTCCACATAGTCCTCAGTTTGAGTGCCCTTTGATGTCCTTTCTCTCAGTCGGAACTGTTGTACTTGCCAAGGTCGGAATCGCCGCGGTGTCGCCAACCCGTCGAAGTACTTGCTGCGAGCAGTGCAGATGTCCTGCGTGGGCTTAGGCCTGAAGCCCAGCCTGTGTGGCAATGTTGGGCAATGGACGAAGCTCGACATGGTGAGGGAATCCAAGCACTCCAAAACCATCGAAAGTAAAAACTGCAAGTCAAGGATTTAGACCACTCGTGCTTAAAGGTTGAGAAGGTGTTTGGGTATTGGCCCACAGCCACATTGTTGCTTTGAAAGGTGAGGAGTTCCTGAGCAAGCCAGCTGCCCCATAAGAGATGTTCCAAAGTCACAAAAGGTGGTTCGGAGGGCTCAGCTGGAATTGGACAAGAGCTTGAGCAAGCTTAGGCAAGTCGCTAAGTGTGACGGCAAGACATGGATGCGAACGATATCCCAAATGGAAGGCATCATTCCAAAGATTGTTATTTGACAAGTATCTTAAGTCAATCTTCCAAAACGGTTGCCCTTGGATCGGAGTTCGGCTTCGCCGCTTGCATCCGCTTGCATTCACCGTCACCTTCTTCGGCTTCGCCCAGGTGTTGAGCAGGCGAGGACAGAGGAAAACTTGACAACCTTTGTGACGTATCGCTGGCTGATTTCACTTTGATGTTCTGTCATGAGAGGCCAAGCAAGAAGACGTAGGATGGCAATTGGCATAATGATGGCTAGCTTTGTTGGCCCCAGAGAGTCGTAGGTGCTAATAACTGTCAGTGGACCATAGGGCTTTTCCCTCCAGCGTATTCACCGGCGTGATCATGTACTGTAAGTGGGAATCACTTTTCAGACTGCTCTTTATTCTAGAGCTGACTCTTGTGGATCCAAGCTTTTGGAGGAAAAAAGTGGTTGATGTTTGGAACGTGTTCAAGACATGCGTTAGACATGAGGCTATGCTGCTATGCTGATTGGATTCATGCTGGTCTCCCCCACTGTGCAGGGCCTTGCCATGGAGCTGGCAGTGTCCTTGGGTTTGGCCTGGGCATCTCAGGGGTGGCGTTGCTTTTCAGACACTTACGAGCGACCCGGAAACCTGAACTCAAAGTTTAGCTATTTGCCCCAAGTAGCGTCCTTGCTCCTAGTAGCGATGCCAGGAGCCCCTAGTAGCCTCCTTGCTCCTAGTAGTAAGGCCAGGAGCCCCTAGTAGTTTCTTGGACGTTTGCTTGAAAAGATTCTTGAGCTCAATGTCCCAAAATTCAACCCAGCACCTCTCATCTACAAGAAGATGGGGGCGAGCAGAGGAGGGCGGAAGGAAAGTTTGCAAGGGGAATTGGGTTGTTCTCAGATGGCAGAGATCTCAGGGTGGTAGGTCTCTTCCACAGGGCCAGACAGATAATGTTTTGGCATGTTTTGGGAACATTGACTTGGTCTGAACAGCCACAGTCTCTAGACTCAGGTGTTAAACAACGACGCCCTTGATGAGCTAGCTTCCATCCCGCGGAAGGTCACACAGTGTTCGATTCCAAGCAGTTTGCATGAATCTGCAAGAATACGCTGTGTCTCACATGACCCTATTGTCCTTTCTTGATCGGTCTTGGCAAGTCCCGCGCCACAGTTGCAGGGGGCTTTTGATTTTTTTGGATATGTGGCAAGTGGCTTCCAGGAGAACTCTTCTGGACTCTTTGTCACAACCAATAATTTCCTGCGCAGGCGTCTCACGCCATCATACGACAATTGGCTGCCAGTCCGAACCGCTGGAGCCTGAGACGCAAAATAACCATCCGTTTGACGACCCCCAGTAGCGGAACTTGGAACTGTGGGGTGATTGCTGTTTTGTGAGGTGCTTGCTAGAGCACGTCCAAACCTCCCTTGTGCTGACATTGATGTGTACTTTGTTGGCAGGTGTCAGCCCGATGGATTTCATTTGCGAAGAAGTTGAGAAATGCTGAGCCCCAAGTCTAAATCAAAGGCGAAAAGTGCTTGAATGTTCTACGAACCAATGGATTGTAACGGCAGCAGTAGCCTTGATCAAGCTGCAACGGCGCTTTGTGTTCTGTCAATATGTTCAAACGGTGTTCTTGTCCACTAAAATCAGGCCGAACACAACTGCGATGGCAAAGCCAGTGAAACTGAGCTTCTGGTGGGATCCCCCAGCACATGCGTGGCAGGGTATTTGAGCCATAGGTTCCAGTTGGAAAAGCTAGAACAAAGGCAGCTTTTGGCGGAACTGGCAGTAGCTAGCAGCAAATCACTCAAAGTCAAGCAAGATCAGGGTTGATTGTTGTTGCACAAGTCGAAACATAGGGATTCTGTGCATGCAGCCTCCCCTCGACTGAGAATGAAGCTTCCCACGGGCCGACAAAACCCCGGGGGGCGGCCCTAGATATTCCGGAAGATAGATGAGTTCACTGTTTTCAAGGGCTCGAATGTTTCTGACGTATGAGGCGATGAAATTGTTAATTGAGTGAGGCATTGAAGATGCTCAGCTTTTAATGCTTTCAAGAGTGTTATGTTTTGGGTTTGGCACTCGACAAACCATGCTTGAAGGGATGACGATGGCCACGAACGCCACAAATTCCAGGATGAAGACGAGGAGACTTGGACCAGCCGTCATAGCCTGCAGTGGTCCATCAACTTCTCCTACCTACAAGGTGTTCAAGTTATTTCTCACATGACCTTTCTGCTATAGTAGGTACAGCAGAATTACTGAATCATTGTTTCAATGCAATTTCTGCTTCACTAGGTGGGGGATCTCAGTTCGAACCTTTCTCACCCTGCAGCATGATCCGGAGTAATTGCCACTTGTGTGGGGCTCTTCACCTCAAAAGTCATGCCCCCCCGGCTTTCGTCGTCATGCACGCCATGCCACAGCTTAGCTGCCTGGATTTGGGACTTTCATGGACTTTCAGGAGATGGACGCTGAAGCCTTCGCACACCCGAAGAGGCGGTTGGACGCGGCATGATGCAGCCAATATCGGAGCTGCCACGAACCCAGAGAGGCAAAATTTCCCGTGACCGATGCCCTCGGTTTCTTGTGTTGTCCCTTTCCACAAGTACAGAGCATACCTATTTGCTCAAAGCATGGAGCAGCCATACTATTCCTCCACATGTAAGAACAACTATATTGGTACGCAAGCAACTAGGGAGAGCCTGGAGGGTATGCAAGGATTGGCACGTCCTGACGGATTTTCCTTGCAGTAGCACTGGCATTCATCACCATTCCGACCACTGCGTTCCCAGTTTCAGCGCCAAGGCTCAAGAACACCCATTCGCCATTCGCGGCATGACCAAGATCAGCATTTTGAGAGAGGGGTGGATCGCCAGCTATTGGAAAGCAAGTTGTTGATGTTAGAGGGAAACAGTTTTAGTACACTACTATATGAATATAGTTATACAGTTATACCAGGGTGTTTTTTGTATATACTATCATGTGTACAGAACGATATTGTATGATGTATTGGTTGGTTTTTGAGGCATGCGACTGCTTTTTGGTTGCATCGAGGGTGCGGAAGCAAGCTTCAGCCCAAGCCATATGCGGAGTGTGTTTGCATCTCCGGAAGAAAGTGGCTGTCTTAATCGCCAACCCCCGTCAATCGACTGTGTGTTTTATATCGATGCTTGTATGAACATTGCTTACATTGCGTACATATGCATACATATACTGTATACATATGTACATTGATCGTTAGACCATGTCTATTGACCACTGTTCATCGAGGTTGGAATATTTATCATAGTTTGTCTACTAAGAAGGCACGTGCTGCTGGTGGTTGTTCTTGCTTCCAATGCTGTGAGTTGAAACAGATTCATGCGGAGACAGAGAAGGCGGAGCGCTTGGTGGTCGGGTTAAAAGGTCGCAGCATACTGGCATACTGGGACGGGGCTCGGGTTCATCAAGATCACCAAGAGTCCCATGAGTTACATTTTGGTGTTGAGGAAGACCCAAGCTCAGCAACTACGACCTTGCAAGCCTCATGCTAAATTTTCTTCGCCCTGGAGGCTGCCTTTGAGATGTTCGGTGGTGTTCTTTAGACGGTATTCCTGTTGATGGTGACCTTTGCAATCATTTGTATAACCGTGAATGACTGCAAATTGGATCCTGTGACAGCTCCACGCAGATGTGAAAGGAAGAAAATGCATGAAAATGCTTGTTTTCGCCGTGTTTCTCAGGCCTGTATCATCGTGGAGTCCTCCACAGGTCCTGATGCCACATTTGTGCCTCACAACTCAACCCACTCAGCACGGGCTCAAGATAAGCGAAGACCAGGCAGATCCAGAAAGTTCAGAGGGATCACCATGGCTCATGGAAGAATCACCATGACTCACGGAAAGCCGTCTTTTCGAGGTCCATTGTTGAACCTCGCATTTCAATCAGTTTGAAGCTGTTGTTTGAGAATGTATGAGAATGTTGGAGACTTGGATAGATGCTGCATCTAAGGGGACACGTCCTTTGGACGTTTCTTACTCTCATATCCCGCTGCTTTTGATTTAAAACAGTTTGTGTTTTTGTCTTGGACCTGAACTGGTCAGGAGCGTCCTTCTCATGCTGTTCTTGGCTTATTTGGAGATCACCTTCAGCTTGCCTTTGGGGTCACAGACTCGACTGGAGCACGAGACACCGGAGACTCCCAGCGCGACTCCCAGCCCGAGCAGCACTTGCCGGAGCCTTCGTTTGGGCATGATTGCCGCGACGGTTGGAGGGATCCCATGGGCATCCTGGGCGCAAAGTGTGCAATACAATGCGCAGTTGGGAGGTGATCTCAGTGAAGCACAAAAGAAGAAGATCAAAGAATATTTATCCAAGCAGATCCTTGATTGAATGATGTCGATTGTGTTTTTTGATGTTTTTGGTGCTGTTTGATGTTGTAGGGTTTTGGTACTGATCGTGCTTGTATTTCCGGCAGCAAGTCGACAAACACAGGTCAGCAGCACAAGGGGCTCCTGCCGTAATAGGCCAAGTTTGGGGAAAGGGTGCAGGTTATATTACGAGTTTGAAGGGATATGGGAGTTGTGTTTTTTTTCGGCGGCTATGAGTTGCATCATGTTGTATCATCCTTAAGAAGGTGAGGAACGTTTAACGCTTTTGGCGGCATTGGGCTCCTAATTGCCCAGCAAGGACCAGCAACGGTTTTTGGCATTGTCCGTAATGTGTGCCTGTAGGTGATCATACGATGAAAGTATATGTGCCTCCGACATCTGAAGAGCTCACCGTGGGCTCCAATGCCTTCAAGGCACGTGTGGCTCAGGTTCGGCCAATTCTGGGGGAGCCTTGACTGCGGTGATGAGCAAACCCGGAGAAAAAAGAATTGTATATGTTGAGCAATCCCAGGAAAGCTGTTTTGTACTATTTGGTCCCCCAATATCAAGTGATCAGACTGAGGACCGCTTGATTGAGGTGCCCCAAGCAGTTGAGATGATCAAGAAGGGGGCGGCCTTTGTCGATGTCCGGACGCGGGAACAAATCCAGAGCCAGACCAATGGGCAGATTCCTGCTGATGCTACAGTGATCCCCTTTGATGACTGGGTTGGTGGGATTCCACCAGTCTTTCGAGGGAAGAAGATCATTTTGACTTGTTGGAAGGGAAACAAGAGCACCTTGGCCTGGGAATCTTTGCGTTCTCAATTCGCAGATGCTTATGTGCTGAAAGGTGGGTTCAATGCTTGGGAAGCTGATGGACTTCCCATCAAAACGATTTGAACTGCCTAGGCAACATGCTTTAGTACAGCTTTGGCCCCATGAGCCAGTTGCCTTTTTCCAACTTGTTTGGAGAAAGAGGCACCTTTTTCCAGCGTGACTGGAGAAAAGGAAATGAACGGACCCAGATCCTTCAAAATTGATGAAACCAATATTGTATTATACTTATTGTATTATATGTATTTTACTATAGTTACAATCAATCCATATAGCGAAAATTCGAAAATGTTTCATTAAAAATTGGAATGTATTTAAAAATATATTTGAGGAATAGATAATATTTCACGAAAGGTAGTCCTTTAGGGGTCTTGCGAAACAAGTGTTGGGACGTCCGGATCTAATAATTGATTATTTAATTTAGACCCGCCTTTCCCTTTCGAATTGATGTTTTAATATAGATTCCCCCCCTCCCTGCTTCTTTGGAATTGATTTTTTTATATAGATCCTCCTCTCCCGCCCTCTTTATATATTTTCTTTCTTGGAGAACGTTTTCGTGAGCCTCTTATGATTTTAGGATAATTGAATTTTTTTTGAATATTTAGAAAGAATGAATATAAAATTTTAATTACGAAATATGTTTTTCGAGGGAATATGTATTAAGAATTTGTTTTGTGAAGTATGTTAATTTTTTTTTGGGTAGTATTTTCGTGATTTTTTTATAAGTTTACGATAATTAAAATCTTATGATATTTCGATTTAACATTTATCGATGATTTGAATTATGTTGCAAATTTGTTTTTTAAAGCATCTTTTTGAATATTTCGAAAATATATATTTAAATATTTAGAATGTATATAAATATATATTTACGAAAGGTCGTTTTCGAGGGGATAAATTATTATATCGAATATAATATTTTTGTTTTTTCGTGTCTTTTTTAAAATAAATTGATTACGAAAGATTTTCGAAATATAGTTCGATTATATTTAGGAATGTTATGGATTTTATGAATTGATTGATAATGTAATAAAAAAGGTGATTATGGGAAATGGAATGGTATAGATTATAGAATTTGTAATATAGGTTATTGAAACGATAATGATTTATAGAATCGTAATAAAAATATATTGATTAAATTTAATAGAATTTTAAAAATATAATATTAATATATAAGGGTTTCGTTTGGGTGCCGCCTTTTTTTTTAGGAGGAGTGTAGCATATATAATTGAAGGCATTTTTGCAATTCCGGGGGGTTGCTCGTCTAGGGAAAGAAGCTAGCTTTAGGAGGCTGAAGCTAGGGAGTGCAAGTATTATGTACGGTCGTGGTGGGGTGATTCTGTAGTGGCAGTGATTTTGATATAATTTGATGAATTTGGAATTTGGGGATTCCAATGGCTATCTGGCCAACAAAGGACAACGTACGCGGATCGGCGACCGTTTGTAAGGACTATGCTTGGCAGCTCAGAGCTGACCAGGTGAGGCTTGAGGTGATGCAGCCCAGGTGCTGACATTGCTGCTTACGAATGGTCGCTGGTCTGTGGGCTTGGTCCGGTCTTGGCACGGTGGCAGTTAGAAACCCTCAAATCCCCCGCGGACGAGCGATGAAAAGCTAACGCACGGGCAAAATGCCTAGCTGGGTTGCAGGTTTGCGGCCAAAGGCGCCGAGGAGGGTTTGAGGGGGGCCGTTGCTTTCGGAAGCCTGGAAAAGAAGAGGTTGGCCTCGGCTGCTAACACCGTACGTGGTAACCCAGGCCATGCCTAGGCTGCGTGGCTTCGGACAGGCTAGCTGTGGCCTGTGCTAAAGCCCACAAAGGTGGAGATGCCAATGCCAAGGTTGCACCCTGCGAGGCGCCGAGAGGGATTTGAGGGGTTTGAGGGGGGCCGTTGCCTTCGGAAGCCTAGAAAAGAAGAGGTTGGCCTTGGCTGCTAGCACCGTACGTGGCGCCCAGGCCATGCCTAGGCTGCGTGGCTTCGGACAGGCTAGCTGTGGCCTGCGCTAAAGCCCACAAAGGTGGAGATGCCAATGCCAAGGTTGCACCCTGCGGTGTCCCAGGCTCCTCCCGCCTAGGCTGCGGCTAGGCTGGGGTCGGCGGATATTTATGTTTTTTGTTTTGGTTGTAGTATTTAGTTCGAATTTTTTGTCGCGAAGATTTTGAAGAAGATGGATGATGAAGAAGGATTCGGCACTATTGTGGGTTTAATTAAAATGATATTTTATATATGTTTATATTTTTATTTTGAATGATTTATTTAAAATGTCATATCAAAATATTTAATGCGATATTTTTGTTTATTTTTTGATGGAACAATTTTATGGGATTGAAATTTGTGATTGGTCTAATAAAAAGGAATATATAATAAAAAAATATTTATTTTTTTATTTGTTTTTATGGTTTTTGTTTTTTGATTTTGATTTGTTTTATTTAAAAAAAAATGTATTTTATATTTATATTGGTTATTTATTATAGTTTAGATTATTTGTATGAATTGAACTATTTTGATTTATTATTGGTTGGTTAAACGCCATCCTAATTTAAGAGTAATGCGCGATTTGGGATTCGTGGGGCGGCGTTATATTTCGATCGATCTTGATTCTGTGTTGAATTTTCGTCTCGATTAGCCATTCTTATGCTGTTAGTTTGGCCTTCGATTGCGTTATTATTTGTTTATTTGAGTAGGCCGAGCCGCAAGTCCGGAGAATCCTCAAGTCATTTAGGATCTAGCTCTAGAAATCCGAGGATTCGGCGCGAGGGTTATCCATCTGGCCTTTGGGAGCAGCCGTGAACATGCACTTGAGGCACTCTTGCGAAATGCCATGAGGCATGGGCGTCGTCGGGCCTAGGCCTTATTGCGTCACGCTTACGATGCAATAGATTGAAGCGCTCATATCCTAAAGCTTGTGCTAGAGCTATGAATGAGGGAAGGATATGCCATTTTCAAGGGCAAGCAAATATATCCCCATCAAATCCCCTTTCGCATCAAACAACATATTCTTGCTAAAACTCCCAAAACTCGAATGACCACACCAGCACATGCACCGAACCTCCCAGGGCCGGGCAGCTTTGCATGTTTCAATGGAATGCTTCAAGAACGATTGAATATCATTTTTGGTTATATTGGTGTGACCAGAGCCCCTACGACATCATCGCCGTTCAGGAATCACGATGGTCAATGACCAACGAGTGGAGCAGCACGCACTGGCACATCGTGCACTCTGCCGATCGTTTTGCATCGATCTTGTTCATGGTATGTTCTGAATTCATTCGACAGGACCAAGTTTCGATAGCGCACCATGCTCATGGCCGCCTGCTTCAGATACGATTGAATTTCTCCAGATCATAAGACTATGTGACCGTATACCAACAGGCTTGGTCCATGCAATATGGGACAAAATAGATTCTTTCGATACGGCAACATATTTGGACTCTCCTGCAGCATTGTCTTGAGTGCTTGCCCCAGAGAAATCAGATAATAGCCTGTGGTGATTTTAATACTCCACTCAATCATTTGTCCCATCAGGTGCATATTGTTGATCCCAAATACCATCAGGCAGCACAACAGGACAAACAGACGTTTACCCAATTGGTCCAGCAGTTCGAATTAGTAGCACTCCATTGTCGTGAACGATTTCACACCACGTTCAACCATGGCACCCATGCCAGTCGAATCGATTTTGCATTGATGTGCAGACAGCAGATTAGTTGGCCGCTTGTTGCACCACAACTACTCACAGATTTTGCCTTCAATTTTGGGCAACTAGGCCCACATCATCATCCATTGGTTTGGACCATCCCCAAATGGTTCCCTGGACCACGACCCAAGCCGATTGTCCTCTTCGACCGTCACCGCATTCGACAGGATATGACGCAGAACACCCAGCGCTGGCAGGGATTTTGTTGGGAGGCCAGACAACTTTTGCAATCAACCAATGAGACTAGTCCCTCCTACTTTCATAAAATTGAAAGCTCATTGATTGATCTTAGCAAGGCATGGTTTCCTAAACGAACATCCACATCAGTAGCATGCAATCCACTTGCCTCCATTACAGCCCGCATGGGGTAGGCTAGAAAACATATTCGTGTATTGATTGATCGCTCGCCCGCTTCCCTTTTCACTGCCTGGAAGCACCTTGCTTTGTTTCGAAGATATCACAAGCAAGTTCGCCAATTTAGCAGACAGAATAAGCGCTAGATGTTGGAAGATTTCCTCAAGGAAGGTGCTGATTTGGCATTGCGTCAGCAGACGTACGATTGGTATCGCAAGGTTCGAAAGCTGTGTCCCAAGCAACGCCCTCAGAAGATTCAGATGTATGATGACCATGGTCAACCACTCAACACAACATTACAACTCCAACGAATTGAATCAGGACCCATCCTTTCAATACCCTGGTAATGTACCCCTCCATACACTTCCTTTTCCCCAGGAAGATGTGTTGCAGGGCCTTCGCCACTTACCAGCTATGAAAGCACTAGCCCCACCATGTATGCCCGCCATCATTTGGCGACACCTGGCCACGGAGCTTGCGGGTCCGAGCCATGTTGCCATTGAATACCATTGGTGTGCAGAGCAAGTGGCACCACCCAGTCACTGGCTTGCCGGCTGATTGCACTTGATTCCTAAACCAGGTAAACCCAGCACTCAACCAGCAGCTCTTGGGCCTATTTGCCTCCAGCACCCTGTTCTCAAGATTGTTTCCAAGATTTTAACCAACCTCATCAAACAATATGCATACCCTATACTCTTAGGTGCCTGCCACTGTATGCAGACCTCCCGCAAAGAGGCACCACAGAGTGTCTCCTTCGTGTCTCACAGCATTGCCAGCAAATTCGACAGCTTTGTCGTGATCGACAACTGGACGCAAGTCCTCAAGGTTTGTTCGGTGGCCTCCAGGTCTCTCTCGACATGGAAAAGGCATTTGATACCGTACGTCGAGACCTTGTGCTCCATGCCTTGAACCAGATAGACCTCCCTCCTGACGTTGCATATGATCCAAACCTGGTTGGCACCCCATAAGTATCACATCCCCTTCAAGTCATTGGTAGGAACCATCGTAACCTCTCGAG